AGCGTGGTCCATTGGTTCCAGTATGCCTTGTTGAGTCAATTTATCCAGTTGTTCGTCAATCTTGGGCTTTAATGCAAATGGCACCCTTCTTGGTTTTATTCTTATTGGTGCCATTTTAGGGTTCAAACTGAAGGATATTGGGGTGCATCTATGTTCTTTCAACTTTCCATCAAACATGTCGGCAAACTCTTTACTCAACTCTTCGATGATCTCTCCCAGGATTTTGTGAACCCCAGTAATGCGTAACCCCAAGGCTGCAAATCAATCCAGTCCCAGGAGGTTAGGCAGTGAGCCTTCTACGACAACCAATTTAAGTGACCCGAAAAAATATTTATATTCTACATGGAGCATTCCACTTCCTTTGATGGGGATATTATTTCCCTGATAATCTCTCAAATGGATAAGGCTTCATGTAGGCTTCTTCTCGGCTCTGTGTGGCAACAATCTTTGTAGAGTCTGCCAGAATGCAATTGTTGTTGCTGACCCCATATCCACTTCTATCTGGCAGGGTGATCCTGCAATACGGATGGTAATGTAAATTTTACTACTTCCCGGAATCCCAATTTGATTGCTCACCCTCTCTAAACAGTGGGTGTCTGTATTAATAGTAAAACATTCGTCCTCTGGGGTTCTCAGTCTTGATGGGGCCCACTTTTCCCCAACATTACAACTTAGAGTCTGTTCTGTTGGGGTGGCAGGCAATGTGGCATGGCAAACTTGTGCAAGATGACCCTTCTTCCCACACCATCTGCAAATGGTATTTTTATGGTTACACATAGTTCTCGGGTGGTATCCGCTGCAACTTAAGCACGAGGAGGACAGCTTCTGATCCATGGTGATTCTGAGATCCTTATTGGCTGCCCTCAACCGATGGATGTCAGTGTGATTATCTTCCTCCTCTTCAGTGTCCCTGCAATTCTGTCTCTCCCCGATGGACAGTTGTCCCCCTTCTAGCCAACTGGGGGCTGCCTGACTTCTGCATCTCTTCAGTCGACCTATTCGATGATTCAGCAGCTTGCGCCTGCTCTACTGCTGTTTGTAGTGTTAACATCAGTTTTGCCAATAATACTCTCTGTAACCTAATATCCCGAACCCCACAGACCAATCTGTCTCAAAGGGCTTCATCTAAGTTACTAAATTTGCAGTAGATAGCTGCCTTACGGAGGGCTGCCATATAACAGCTGATAGACTCACCCTTTGCCTGTTCCCTATGGTAAAAAGCATGTCTTCTAGCAATGCAAGATGGTCGGGTGTGTGTGTGTAATGTTCCTGCAGTTTACCCAATAATATGTCCCAAGTAACCTTCTGAAGGGGTTGGGGCGCAATGAAGGCCCTTGCTGTCTTAAACACTTCTTTTCCACAAATGCTAAAAAAAAGCACTCGTTTGCGATTATCTGTGATATTTATAATCATTAGCTTCTAATATACAGTAAAAAAGGATTAAGTAACAATCCCACATTTATGTTTCAGGATCAAATGGTGCAAACTGTGGTGAGTTAGCCATTATCTTTCAAAAAAAAAAAGAGTGTGCCTCTTAATCTCTGTGGCCTCTCAATTACCAGTTCTCAGTATTGGCTCCAAGCCCAGGAATCCCACCTTCCTCACCAATGCAATGTTATCAGTGGGGAACAGACAAGGAGCCACATTCCAACAATGCTGTTTATTCAAGATAAGAGCAGACTATAAACCAACATCCAGTTTCTGGCCAACAGCTCCTTTTAAAGGGAAGCTCTCAGCCAATTAACCAATAACTTCAAAATACATCCTAAACTTACACAGTCAGATCCTTTCCATGAATTGTGGAAACTGAATGCTGAGCAAAACTTGCTGCAGAATGGACTTTATTCCCCGTCTTTGAGGAGATGGGAAATGACAAGCAAGGGTGGCATTAAAACAGGAATTCAGTGACCCAGATACACAGGAAGGCTGAGATAAAATCTTTCTAGGTACAGAGGTCAAATTTGGTCACACGATTTCTAGGTAACAAGTGTTCCCAAACAAGTGGTCCTACCATAGTATAACAATGACTACTTTTCAGCTTTTTCTAATTAGTTATTTAGGAATTGTAAGAGTAAATATATGAATATTCCCCTCAATGGAAGGTTCTGTGAATATTTGACACCAAAAACGATCCCATGGTAAGTGGCTTGGTCACCAGTGATGTTCCCAAATAGAGCTAGGTTTCCAGGCCTCAAGGTTGAAGGCCACATTATGAGCGAGATTCAGGCTGCACCAGATGCCTAGTTAACCCAGACCTGGTTGAAAAGTAGGAATCCGATTGAGGCAGCTGAAAGTATCCATCGTATTTTGCTAACTAGACAGATCAGTAGCAGGGAGCACCCCAACGTTTGTCACCAAACCCATAGAAATGCAGATGGTGGCCCACATAAATGCAAATGGGGGCTCATAAGCTTCATAGTGGTTCCAGGGATGGAACAATCCTTAGTTCTAGGCTTGGCTTGGCTAAAAAAGTGGCCCCAGTCTTATTCCACAAAAAGAAAGATGGCACGCTTCATCTATGTGGATTATAGGGGGTTAAATGCTGCTTGGGTGCAAAATGTGTATCCCTGCCCCTGATGAAAGACATGCTAGATCATTTAGCCAAGGGCAAAATTTTCACCAAGCTGCACCTAAGAGAGGCCTACTACATGAGAATCAGGAAGGGGGATAAGTGGGCTATTTCCAATTCAAAAGACTCCCATTCGGCTTCCAAGGCCCCTGGCAGTGTCCATGCAATTAATAAATGAGGTGTTAAGCAGTGTGATGACCTAGGGCAAAGATCACACAAACAGCTGGCAGTTCAAACCACCCCTTTATTGTGCTCCAAAGTTCCCCAAATGCTCCCATGTTTCTGGCAAGTCTTGAGCAGAATGTTAACAAAACCCCACACAAAGCTCAAACAGTTTCTGTCTGCAATTAGTCCAGTCCAAGACTGTCAACACCAAGGCTGCTCAGCAATAATTCCAAAGGTAAATCAAGTTCAAGGAACAAACAATCCAGGTAATTAGTCCAGAACACCCACAGGAATGAAAAGACTCATGGCCAATTCAAACATTGGCATGCACACTTCAGAAACTCAGCGTTTGTTTCCCACAAATGCCCTTCCCCACAGGATCTCATTTTCCCAGTATGAATTGTGAAGATGGGTTGGGCACTCTCCTTGCACGTAGACTGCTCTGTCTGTTTGTTGATCACACCTCATCTCCACTCGCTGAGCTCTTGGATCCGGAGAAGGTGGTCCTGGCCCCTCACCTGAGCCCTGTCCCTCATGTTCCTCCTGCCTCTGTTTGTCCCTGCCTGCAAGATTTACTACTTCAGAAAAATCTTGACTGGACTAACTCTGCCCTTCCCCCATTTCTTCCAAGGCCTCTGAATGTCTGGCATTTGTTGTTCCAGCTCATCTTCCCCCGCAAATTCAGACTCCAACGGGGGCATGACACACGAACACCTGTATAAGGGAGTACCGGTGTATCTAGATGATATTTTAATTTACACTGAAATGAACGCAGAGTATGTGAAACTAGAGATAGCCGTACTCCAAGAACTACAGACTGCCAAGCTGTATGCCAAACTTTCCAAATGTGAATTTCACCAAAGTGAGGCTACCTGGGCTACTGCATTTCACACAAAGAAACTGTGATGGACCCTCACAAAGTCCTCTGCTCCACTTCGAATCAGAAAGCAGCGACAGAGCTTTGCCAACTTTTACTGTCAATTCATCCTGTCATTTGTGTGAATCACACTCCCCATCACAAATTTACAGTATGGTGGGCAGTAAGGGAAAAGGAGGCTTATGTGGTGAGTTGGGCACTCCTAACCAGGAGGGACTTCCTTGAAGGAAACAAAATGCCTTTCAAAATATGGACTGACCACAATAGCCTAGAGACACCAAAAAGGCTGTCTCCAAGCAGCGATGGATGCAGTACATTAACTGCTTTGATTTCATGTTGTATTACTTCCTAGGGGGGAAGATTATCCTGAATGCCTCAATTCAATTGCCCTAAAGCAGAAGTGGTCAAACCTCTGTCCCATACAACCAATTAGTGATTCAAGTGACTACACAAGCGCAGGCAAAAGAAAACCAACAAACTGACAATGAGGTGATGGCCACACTTAAAATTGCCCTGAAGGATGACCAATGGTTTCAAAGTCATGGAAACATTTGTTCAATCCAGGATGGACTGGCCTGGATGGGATCTAGAATATATGTACCAGAGAACCAGAGACTTGGTCCTGGGGAAAAGCCATGACTCCAAGTCCACTGGACACTTTGGCTTTGAAAAGACTTTACACCTAATAAAAAAACAGTTTTGATGGTCATCTCTGAAAAAAGACATTGAAAGATATGTGGCAAGTAGCCCCATCTGTGCTTCAGCCAAACAACAACAAGGGGACACTCCTGGACTCCTCCAAGCAGTGGCGAAGCCTTCAGCGCCCTGGAAAGAGAGATCAATTGGTTTTATTGGGAAGTTTCCAGAAAGCTCTGGGGATACTGTTATAAAGGTGATGACTGATTTATTTTCTAAGCAGGTGCATTTTGTCCTCTGACAGAAGATGTCTTCAGCACGAGGATTGGCCAAGCTATTTTTGAACCATTTTTATAGACTACATGGAGTCCTACAACATGTCATCTCAGATAGAGAGCAATTCACTTCTACGTTTTGGAGGATATTTCTTAAATTACTATTAGGTAAATAGTATAAACAAACAATAAGAACTGTTTGGGCTCTTGGAAGATTCTGAAAGCTTTACCCAATACAAGACCTAAATGTAAACTGAACTGCATGAATCAATGTATTAAGTTGATATATATATATATATATATATATTCATGTATATAATTTATAAGTTGATTTCATGATATTTTTCTGTCTCCTTCAAGGTAACCTCTTTACAACTATCTCAGGATGCAGTCTCTTAACTGAGGAAAGCAATATTCTACATGATTAGGTAACAAATATGCTCAAAAGGGTTAAGAATTTCTATTATTCATAATTTACCCAATAAAGCTGCCCAGTGAAGCGGAGTTCGAAATAAATTATCATAAGAAGACACGTTGCAACTTTCGTAGGAAGTCAGCAGATCAACAACAGCTATATTCCCATCAGCAACTGCAAAATGGAGAGGAGTTCGTCCTTCATAATCTTGCCAGTTTAGCAGAGATTCAGTTGGAGCAGCATCCTGGTTTATAAAAAGGCCAGTTAAAAAGATACAGTGAACTTTTAGGGATGGCAATAGATGCTTAAAAAGTCCTACTGGAGTTCAAGCAATAAATCAAGCAAATACCATTTTAATTAAAAATTATTAACTGTATGAACTGATGGTAATTAAATTCCCACTTTCTTTAGAACAAAATTACATTTTATTTCTTAGGGCACGCTGACCAGCTGACTTTGGCTTCCTTTTGAGGCCATTTTTCACCCTCCGGAGGCTTCCCTGAAGCCTCCAAAGCATGAAAAACCGTCCCTATGGGCAAACCGGAAATTCAGGAATGGACTTCAGGTTTGCTTGTAGGATCGTTTTTTGCCCTCCGGATTCTTCACGGGCCTTCAGGAGGCTTCCCTGAAGGCTTTGGAGGTCAAAAATCGGCCCAACAGGGAACCTGGATGTTCAGAAATGGTGACTTCTGGTTTGTCCATAAGACCAATTTTCGACCTTCAGAGGTCGAAAATCAGCCCTACAGACAAACCGGAAGCCACCATTCCCGAACCTCTGGGTTCCCTTAGGTCCATTTTTCACCCTCTGGAGCATTCAGGGAAGCCCCTGAGGCCTCTGGAGGGCATCCGGGGGGGGGGGGAGGCTGTTTTTGCCCTCCCCAGGCTGCTAGAAAGTGTCTGGAGCCTGGGGAAGGAGAAAAAACTGTGGCAAATGGTCTCTGATCACATGCATCCATGTGTGCATAGCATTATGGGTGTGGCATGCTGGTGCACAACCCCCCTGTGCTCCCCCTACTTTTGACATGGCAGCCAAAAAAGATTTGCTATCACTGGCCTAGAATAATTGAACTTTTCTTAAATAATTTCCCCCCGTATCTGAGGATTACAGGGACATATAGCATAACTTAACAATATTTCTAAAAGGTTAAGGTTGGAAATATAATCTTTTTTTAAAAAAAAAATGGCCACCTGTAATGAGGAGCAGCTGGACCTTTCAATCAAAAGCCAATCTGATGTGTCAATAAAAGAAAAGAAAGGTTTCATTAGATTTTGACAAGAAGAGTCTTTTTGGTGAGATAGTTGGGTGGAGAGCTGGATGAGGGCTTTACCTTAGACAAGATTGAAAGTTAGTTTAGTTAGAATTGATTTAGGATTTGTTTTTTTTCCTAAAAAAACTACTGAATGTGTTGCAAAAGATTAAATTTATTTTCTCTTGATAATTTTAGTAAATATTATTATTTTTTCCTTCCTGGCCTTTCATTACCAATCTCAGTTTGGTTAAGCTAAAATGTTGTTCTGATTTCCTTTTTTTATATTAAGCCAGACCTAGGAATATTTCCCATTTAACTCTCTCCTAGTTCTCCAGATGCTTGTGTTAAAGGGAGAAACTGGTTTATAATAAAGAGGTGACAACAGCAAGAAGACCAGTCACTGTATATCCATATGCACAGCTACCTCAGAACTGATGGGATTTCAAAGAAGAGGGTAGTTCCATCCTGAAGATGCTCTTTTGCCCTCATTACCTAACCAAGCAAAGTCCACTGATTTTTTCCTTGTAATTTATCTTTGATTACTCCAGCATTGTTAAAACTTATGAAGTCAATTGACTTCTCTTTCATTTGTATCTACAGAGGAATTTATGCATTTAACAAAATATGGATTTTATAATTTAAAACGATGACAGTGGAGAACAATGATCATCTCCTTGCTTGTTTTTTTAAATATGCCAGTATCTCAGAAATCTCTGAATTAAACTACCATTATGGTGTTGATGCAGTTTTGAAAATTTCTTTTTGGAAAATCATTTTTTAAAAACTTGCAAATACCTAATAAGTATTGGCCTAATACAGGTAATTTGGATGTTTGAATATATAGATTGTAAGCTGTTTTTATTTGGCTGCAGAACAATTAAAGCAGAAGATTGAAGACTTATTATGGCCAGTTGCACAATGAAGCAGATATTTACAGTGGATTTTGTATTTTTAATATATCTATCAAGTTCTTGGCAAAGATAGGAAATAGACAGATGTTGTTGGATGGAGTTAAAAGTACTGCTGCAGAATGTAAGCTGTTCCAAGTAAAGCTGCCTTTTGCAACTGATTGGGATTTTGTCAAAGCTGATACTGTTGTTATGACTATTGCAATAATTTCAGTTAAAATATTTTTGTTCATATTAGAATTTCAAATCTCTTCCACTTACCACATTTTGATATTTAGATACCTTGTATTTAACAATGTTAAATGTTTCTGCCTTTCACAGATACTCATTAAATTGTTTGAATGGTGCTTGATTGGTGGTTATAGAATTCTGAGCTTTAGGGTAATGCAATTTTGGAATTTATCAAATAGCCTTCAATAAATCTACCTTTTTATTATATAGCTCATTTAGTCAAGTCCTAAACTACGAAACAATAAAGAATGTAGCAGCCATTTGCATAGCTTTTTGTCTCATTTCACACCCATCAAACTATTAACCATTTTCTTTTCTTTTCACAGCTGAAGATAAAGATTCAGAAATTTATTCAATATTCTAAAGAGATATTACTGCAAAATAAAGTAGAGTTTTATGTATTATTTTTGATGTAACATATGACCAACATTGAGAAAAAAAAACCATACCAAAATGCATTTGACAGTATTAACCGCACTGGGATCCTTATGATTAGCTGCCCAATGAAGTGGAATTCTGCCTTCAATGTCTGGGATTCCAATGTTAGAATCATGTTTGATAAGAATCTTCACATGCTCTGGATTATTGTAATAGGCACTCCAGTGAAGAGCAGTTTGCTGAGAATAAGAGTAGACACAAAGAATTTTTTTTTAAAATCCAAAGGGAAATACATTGCAATTGAAATCAATGTAGTTGTAGTATGCCTTAAAAGTGTTTGATTGGGACAAATGAGACCCAGGTTCAGGTTTCCACTTTACGTTGGAGATTATTGGATGATCCTGGGCAAGCTCTTAACATCTCATATCTCCTTTGCTCTTAATTAAACCAATGGCCCGAATTTGTGGTCTAGGAAAATGGTGGTTCATGAAGATAGTGAAGATACAATACAATGCAATAGCAGAGTTGAAAGAGACCTTGGAGGCCTTCTAGTCCAACCCCCTGCCTAGGCAGGAAATCCTATACAGTTTCAGACAAATGGCTATCCAACATCTTCTTAAAGATTTCCACTGTTGGGGCATTCACAACTTCTGGAGGCAAGCTGTTTCATTGATTAATTGCACTAACTGTCAAGAAATTTCTCCTCAGTTCTAAGTTGCTTCTCTCCTTGATTAGTTTCTACCCATTGCTTCTTGTTCTACACTCAGGTGCCCCGGAGAATAGTTTGACTCCGTCTTCTTTGTGGCAACCCCTGAGTTATTGGAACCCTGCTATCATGTCTCCCCTAGTCCTTCTTTTCATTAAACTAGACATACCCAGTTCCTGTAACTGTTCCTCATGTTTTAGCCTCCTGTCCCCTAATCATCCTTGTTGCTCTTCTCTGCACACTTTCCAGAGTCTCCACATTCTTTTTACATCATGACGACCAAAACTGAATGCAGTATTCCAAGTGTGGCCTTACCAAGGCAATATAAAGTGGTATTAACACTTCATGTGATCGTGAGTCCATCCCTCTGTTTATTCAGCCTAGAACTGTGTTGGCTTTTTTGGCAGCTGCTGTACACTGCTGGCTCATATTTAAATGGTTGTCTACCAGGATTCCAAGATCCCTCTCACAGTTACTACTATTGAGCAAGATACCTCTTATATCAGTGATGGCGAACTTATGGCACGCGTGCCACAGGTGGCACGTGGAGCCATTTGTCAGGGCACAAGACACACAGCCTGTCAAGTTTGTCAAGCTCCTTCTGTATCTTAAGCCTATCTTCTGGAGTCTTGGCTATTCCTGCCATCTTGGTGTCATCTGCAAATTTGATGAGTTCCCCATTTATCCCCTCATCCAAATCATTGATGAAGATGTTGAAGAGTATTGGGCCTAAAACAGAGCCTTGGGGTACTCCAGTGCATTCTTCCCTCCATGTAGATGCAGTTCCATTGAGGACTACACGTTGAGTGTGGTTGGTCAGCCAGTTACGAATCCATCTGGTGGTGATGTTATTTAATCCACGTTTTTCTACTTTATCTAGTAGTAGGTTATGGTCTACTTTATCAAATGCCTTGCTGAAGTCCAAGTAAATTATATCCAGTTCCTGCAACCGTTCTTCATATGTTTTAGTCTCCAGTCCCCTAATCATCTTTGTTGTTCTTCTCTGCACTCTTTCTAGAATCTCCACATCTTTTCTACATCGTGGTGACCAAAACTGAATGCAGTGATAATATATTATAGAACCAATCTAGTGTAATAGTTAAGAAATCAGGCTAGAAACTGGGAGGCCGAGTTCTAGTGTTGCTATGGAATGAAATCAGCTGGAACGAGCTTGATCTAATTACTTTGTCTTAGCCCCAGGAAGAAAGCAACGGCAAACCACTTCTAAAGTCTTGACAAGAAAGCTACATGGACTTCTCTAGGAAGATGTCAGGAATCAAATAACATACCAAAACTCGCAATGTGCAATCCAACCAAAAATGTCACAAGGTTTCAGAGTTCACTAACATCTCTCGAGATTTCACAAGCTCACAAAATTTCAGCCATTAGTTCTTGTTAAAAGGACAGATAAAGTGTGCAATGAATCTATAAGCATTTTTTTCTAACACGGAGTTTCCAAATACATTTTGCAGTATATTTAAGGAAAAAATAGGAACCTGCAACTCAGAGGAAAGGAAAAATATAAAATGAAAAAAGATAATAAAAAGTATAACACTGAAACAGATTTCTTCATAATCTGTTTTGATATTTGTAACTTTAATAATTACAAATTGTAATTATTAAAAAATAATAAATAAACTAAAATTATAGAAATTATTTAAAGATAACAATTATTTTCATAAATTTCAGAGCCTGAAAACAGTCGAAGATAAGTACTTAGCTAACAGAAAAGAGCAAATTTCTGTTTAGTATATGACTATAGCTAATTGTTAATTTGCTGTTATACTCTTCAGTGGTTTTGTGGATATGCAGAAATGGAGTACAGAGTATTATTTCTTGCTCACTAATACTTTTTGCATTATTTGTGAAAAGACAAAATGGGTTCAGAACATACTGATTCCAGATTTCTCGAGATTTTAAATTTAGATTTATGATTCTAGATTTTAGATATATTCTTAAATAAAAATGATCAAATGCATTCCATCAAAATAGACCAACTATTTTAAATAGATTGCTATAGTTAAAGCTTCAGAGAAAGTCTTGGTAGAATATTTTCAAGTAGATAGCTGTTTATCAAATATTTTTTACCTTGTTCTTGTCCTGCGTATCTACTTCTCCTGGTGCCATATACTTTAACAACAAAGCTAAGCACTTTGGACTCTTATGTTGGGTAGTTAGGTGTAAAGGAATGATTTCTTCCAAATCCTTCTTCATCCAGTTTGCTCTATGAGCAAGTAAAAGTTTCATAAAGCGATAATTGCCCTAAATAATGTAATGGAAGAGGGAAGGGAAGACAGAGAAGTTAGATCCAGCTAGAATTTAAAAAAAGAATACACATTCCTGTTAAACTACCAAAAAGAGATTAAGATAAATCATTTCAGAATTCCCCCCCCCCCTTTAATATAGCAATATATAATTTAATATAATTGTAAAATTTAATTGAATAACCACTTAAATCTTTTAGGGTAAAAATAACAATAAAAGCATACAATAATATGTTTGCATAAATATAGACATTTTCCACTGTACATAACTGATAGTTGCTATCACTTTTGAAATGTAATTATTAGGAAAAATGACGTGCATGCGTGCGCGTGCATACAGAGAGAGAGGGACGGAGAGAGAGAGAGAGAGAGAGAGTGAGAGAATGAATTTATTTATTTATTTGATTTAGAAGGTCACCCGATTCAGTATGATTCTGGGCAGTGTACCACATTAAAAAAACAATAAATCCAAAAAGAGAAAACCACCACATAACAATTAGCAAATATAAATAAAAGGGCAACGAAGCACATGACAAAACAATCAAAAGTGGACTCTTGTTCAATTGGACCTTTATGTTTGGGGAAACAACCAGATACGCCCCCCTGCACCTATGTGTGAACTATAGAGGGATAAACACTGCTTCTATCCACTGCCACTAATGAAATACATGTTATCTCTATATCTATTTTTTTACTAAATTGGACTTGTGGGACGCCTGTATTACTGAGTTCTTATCAAAGATAGAGAGGAGTAGAAGATAGCTTTTAACTGCCGCTTCAATTCAGGGTCCTCTTCAAATTACAGAGGCCCCCTGCTGTCTTCATGCAGCTGATAAATGAGGTGCTGCATGACAACTTATACAAAAGTGTGTTGGTCTACCTGCATGACGTACTTATTTATACTGAGACAATTATGGAGCATGAGAAGCTGGTTAGAACCCTCCTTCAAAAACTAAGAGCTGCTCAATTATAAGCTGAACTCTCAAAATGCAAGTTGCATCAAAGTAAAATTGACTATTTGCGCTACTGCATCTCCCATAAGGGAATAGAAATGGACACTGAGAAAGTTAGGGTGGTGCTAGAGTGAGCCTCACCCCGCACCAGAAAGCATCTGCAAAGCTGTCTGGGGTTTGTGAATTTTTAGTGCCAATTCATCCCATTTTTTGCTCAGACCGTCCTCCCCATCACCTACTTGCTAAAGACAATGGAGAGAGGAAATCCAAATCAAGCCAACCAGTGAAGAGGACAATGGAATGCCAGGCACCATTTGAAAAACTCACATGGTTGTTTGCCACTGAATCAGTGCTAAAACACCAAATGCTCCATTTATTATTCAGGCAGATGCTAGCAATGTAGCAGTAGGAGTGGTCCTTGTACAAAGGAACAACCACAACTGTGGACCTACATCTCCAGAAAACTGACACTGAGTGCTGATGGGCAATTTGGGAGAGCTTACACTGTGCGCTGGACACTCCTATGTGGAGGCATTTCCTGGAGGGAAGACCCCATTTGAGGTGTGGACTGAACACAAAAACCTGGAAGCCTTAATAACACTTAATTTAAACCTTAGCTTTGTTAACTTCATCTTTGCATGGTCCAGCTATTTCCAAAGTCTACTACAATAAGAACAATAAGCTTATCTGTTACCATAGCTTTTAAATGGCCATGCACATTTATGGTTTCTTCTTTGCCAATGAAAACAAACTATAACTATAACTGGGATGTTTACATTCAAACATATAGATGATAAATCAATGAAGTGCCTTGCCTTGAAGACTTTCAAGCATGCAGAAAAGGTATTATTGTCCCTCCTTCCAGAAACTCTGGAAACTAGTACTACGCTGATAGGCTCATGTGTGACTAAAGTATTCCTAAAATGGCTTGAGGAGAAAAACTGGCAGAATGATTAGTAGCTACCTAAATGCATTTAGCCACCAAAATGAATTGCTTTTCTTCTTGATAAGTCCCTATCCATTGTTTCTTGTCTTGCCTTCCGGTGCTTTGGAAAATAAGTTGATCCCCTCTTCTTTGTGGCAGCCCTTCAAATATTGGAATACTGCTATCAGGTCAGCCCTAGTTCTTCTTTTCCTTAGACTAACCATACCCAGTTTTTGCAACCATTCTTCATATGTTTAATCCCTAGGCCTTTAATCCTCCTCTTTGCTCTTCTCTACACTTTTTCCAATGTCTCAGCATCTTTTTTGAATATGTTGATCAAAACTGGATGCAGTATTCCAAGTGTGATCTTACTAAGGTTTTATAAAGTGGTACTAATCCTTTATGTGATTTTGATTCTATACCTGTATGTTTATACAACCAAGGATTATATTAGCTTTTTTGGCTACTGCTTCACACTGCTAGCACATATTTAAGTAATTGTCCACTAGCACTCCAAGATCTTTCTCACAGTTACTGTTTTTGAGCCACTTGTACCTTTGGATTGCCCTGCCTAAGTGTAACACCTTGTTTTTCTCCACATTAAATTTTATATTACTCGATATGTCCCATTGTTCAAATATGTCAAGATCTTTTTGGATCCTGAATTTGTCTTCTGGAAAGCTATTCCTGTCAGCTGAGTGTTGACTGCAGATTTGATGAGTTCCTTTTCTAGTCCTCATCTAAGTCATTTAGGAAGTTATTGAAGTACTGGGCTTACACTGAAACCTTGTGGTACTTCATTGCTTATTTCTCTCCATGTAGATATAGTACCATTAAGAACTACTCATTCAGTATGGTTTGTCAGCCAGTTACAAATCCACCTGGTGGTAATGCTACCTATCCCACTTTTTTCTAGCTCACCAAGAAGTAGGTTGTCAAATGCCTTACTGAAATCTAGGTATACTATATCCACAGCGTTTTGCTGGTCTACTAATTTAGTCACTTTGACAAAAAATGAAATAAGATTGGTTTGTCATGATCTGTTTTCACAAACCAATGCTGGCTTCTGATTATAATTTTATTTGTTTCTAGATATTCAGATATCTGTTTTTTGATGATCTATTCCAGTATATTCCCAGGTGTTGATGTTAGGATGATTTGATCTATAGTTTCTGGTTATTGTTTTTCTTTTTTCTTTTTTGAAGATGGGAGCCACATCAGCTCTTTTCCAATCCTTGGGTACTTCCCTCATGTGCCAGGATTTTTGACAAATATAGTACAATGATTCTAATATACTGTAACATTTGCCAGCTCTTTCAGAACTCTGGAATATAATTTGTCAGGTCCCGGTGATTCCACTTGGAAAATGTAACTGAATGAAGAGAGAATCAAGGCAGAAATGGTGCTAATAAGTGCAATGGAAGTAAAGCAGATCCTAATGTTAAGGAACAGGGGAACCAGATCAGCTGCCAAGGTCAGCAGACTATCTGCAATCTATTTAAAATTCATTTTAAACAAACAGAACAAAGACAAGTTGGGAAGAGTTTTAAATACAGCACAGGGTGGCAGTTTGAGCTGCTTTTCAACTGTCTCCCATAAGTGTGTTTTTTTTTTTTTTGTACAGCCTCAGTGGGTTTAGCCCAATTCCTAACCCAATATTTCTTTTGCCAAATTTCCTATAGAAAATTTTATCTTTATTCTGCTGATGGATAGGTAGAAAATATCCTGATTGTTTAAAAATAAAATGTTTGTTTCTTTGCTTTTAGGGTTTTTCCCTCTAACATTTCTTTGGGCTGGAAAAAAGAAAACATGTGTCATTTCTCACACATTCCCAGGATGAATTTCTATGGTTTATTTTCTGTCAAAACAACAGACTCAATGAGAGGGGAAAAAGTAGGAAAAAGGAAATATACAGTGATACTTAAAAATTTGGAATGTTCAGTATTTCTGCAAAAATATGATGTAAAACATGAACCGTTCTCCACATGTCCTAAAACTAGATAAAGAAAACCAATTAAATAAGTGAGTAAAAAAGCACTACCCTTGTTTATTTAGTTAGATAAAAGATTTAAAGCTACCTATTTGTAGCAATGCAGTTTCCGCAAAAGAAGTGATACATGTGCAAATCTGGATGTATGCAAAACTGTGTAGATTGCTGCATTTTTAACCAGCTTCAGGATATACTTCACGGGCAGCCAATAGTCCGAGTGAGGTGACCAGGGCATGGGTGATTATGAGAAGGATACATTGGTCTAGGAATGGGCATAACTTGCAAATAATTTGCAATTCTGCCAGAGGAATGGGTCATTCATTGCAGCCAGGGGGGCACAACCATCTGAGCTCCTCTTGTTCTCAATCAACACTAACTGAAAGTGACCTGGGAAGAAGGAACTGAACCAAGGACAACACAGTGCTCTCCACTTTCAACCACTGAAGCCATTCCAGAAAGATATCATCAATGGTACTGAAAATCACTTAAAGCAAGGAAGGACAAAGGATAAAGTGTCATCTTCTACAGTGATAAAAGGTAGCTTTCATTAGCTTTCATTTTTATCCATTTCTTCCTGTATACTGGACCAAAATAATAATAATTATATCTTTTATGTAGGGAAAAGTACATTGTGATCTTCAGCCCAATTGAGTAATTTTGTGATAATCTCTAAAATGCTATGGAGAGAGTTTGAGGATCCTAGGGTAAGGACAGATAGTCCTCAACTTACAACGGTTTTTTTAGAGACTGTTAAAGTTACAATGGCACTGAAAAAAGTGACTTATGACCGTTTTTCAAACTTACAACTGTTGCAGCATCCCTGTGGTCATGTGATCAAAATTGAGATGCTTGGCAACTGACTCACATTTATGATAATTGCTGTTTCCAAAGGTCACGTGAACACCTTTTGTGACTTTCTGACAAACAAGGTCAAGGGGGAAGCCAGATTCACTTAACAACCAGGTTACTAACTGAAGAACTGCAGTGATTCACTGAAGAAATGTGGCAAGAAAAATTGTAAAATGAGGCAAAACTCACTTAACCAATGTCTCACTTAGCAACAGAAATTTTAGGCTTAATTGTGGTCGTAAGTTGAGGAGTACTTGTACAAATATATCCAAAGAGAAAAC